CAGTAGAATATACTAGCTATCGAGTTCTAGTTACAGAAAAACGTGGTGCTGACAACTCCGTTCAATACTCAGAATTACGGCTATTTGGTTTTTAATATGTCTTTGACTTCTTATGATTGTTCATGTCAACGATAATAATTTTATATTCATCTAAAACAATCTTTAGCTGCTTTTATGCTTTAAATATTCCTTGTTAATGATTGTATTTATTCTGTTAAACTATAATCATATGTTTTAATAAAATGAGGGTGTGAGTGTGGATGGGTGTGAAGAGAAGATTCACAACCACACCTGGAGTAATCCCAGACGATTCTCTCGCTTGTATACTGTCTCCTCTTAATCTTTGATTATGATTCAAACGAGCTTGCAATGACCGATCAAAAACATCCTGAAACAGAACATTTCTATCTTACAATGATTCTCACCTTTCTTACATGTAGTTTCACTGACATAACTCAGTCATTATAAGCTACGTTTGATTCTTTTTTGCATGCATTATGAATTCGAACGCTTTGCCTTTTTTTTCATCATAGTAAATGATTTAGATAAAAAAAATGAATTGCGAACCAAACTGAAATTTATTTTCTCTTGTCATTCATATTATCCTGACGACACACATCATGCAATGAAGAAATTCAATCGTAAAATGTATTCGAAGATTCCGTAAAAGCTTAGATGAATTATAGAAGATCTTACAAGCTCTTACAATAAGATCACACAAGAATCGTACTGTACGATTTTATCAGAAATACAGGCTTTAAGATTGGCATATGAAATCGCACAGTAAGTTTAGATATGATCTTGTAGAAATCATACAAGATCTTATAATCAGATTGTTTGATCTGGGTTATGATCTATCACTAGTCAAATGGAATATTACTGGATCCTTTTCCTATCTTTTATATTCGACTTGTCTTTTTTGAACATATGCAGTGATAATTTGTGATGAGATGGAATCTGATTTAATTTTAGATAGAAAAAAAACATCTCAATGAATAACAATACGTACGCCTGTCGAAATATTGATATTTATTCGACATTTCCATCAAATGTAATTGAGTACCAGATATGAATAGCAATGTTTGATTATTCTGAAATGAAAAAAATACTATCAAATAATGAACAAAATGATTTATCACATCGGTTGGTATTTTGGAACTTTAAAAATCAAATGCTCTAATGATTGTTATATCCTTTAGAACTTGTCCTATTGCATCATCGACACAAGGAAAACATCGAGTAGCTATTCGAAGGTAATTTTTATCAATTTATGTTTTATTTCATCATTATCATCGTGAATAAAATGACTGCTCAGCAGAAAACAAAAAATTAAAATATAAAACTTGGTTAGAAAAAAATCTCACCCTCCATTTTCGTGTCATAATTTCAATATAGGCAAAAATGCTCGAAATTACATAATCGCAGATAAACGCAGAAATTATTTATTTTTATTTTGTTTTCACTTTTTATTCACTGAGGTAGTTTTCAAAAAACAAGTAATTTGAAAATTGAATATACTTTTATGAAATAGCAGTAGTATGAGCATTGTAACTATTTGGCGGCGAAGCCTTTAAATTTATAGTTTCAAATTTTGAATAGACGCCGAAGTTAAAATATAGGAAAAAAAAGGTCTTTTCAATATTTGCTGTGTTCTGAAATAGATAACACTGCCAACAGCATTGCATCTTTAAATCAAACATCAGGTGCAAGAATTATGATTGCCAATGATTTCCAAAGTATACCATGTCAACGATATATTTTTATTGTATGTGCTCTTAAAATAAGTCTCCCATTGAAGAGTTGAGATCTACAGGTTAATTCTTAAAAACATTCATTAGAAATAGTTGAACACGAATATACATCAGATATATTAGGAAGCCAGAGATTTTCTATCTATACTTACGAGGGAAGCCCCCTAACCGATTACTAACTTTTAAGTCGGGAGTATGTGTATCATGTAGATTGTAATAAGCTATAAATATAAGTAACCTAAGAAGGGATCAGCTCCTTAGTTTATTATTGGAGAGATACTGCACTTTTACAGTAGTTTTTAAGTCATCACCGTAATCCCTTCGGTAACATTAGGAAAATTGATTTTCAAAGTTCGACTTGAAACTGTACACAGAGACAGACTTCAATGAGAATAGCTTATTGTGAAAGTTCAAGGTCTTTTGATTTGCTTCTATCTTGAAATAAGAACATCAAATCTGTTCGTGTATATGAGCGACGCAAAAAACACAATTTTATCATAGTCGTATCTTAGAACAGAAGCAATGAAAAGATGTGGAAAGTTTCAAGTGGAAATTCGAAAACCCAAACCAATTTTTCTGATGCTATGAGGGTGGACTATGGCATTAACTTGAAAAATACCGTAAAAATGCAGTATTTCTGTAGCAATAAGCTATGGGTCCAAGCTCCTTTTTAGGTGATTCATATTACATTACAATCTACATGATGCACATAGTTTCCACTCAAAAATAATTAGCCAGTTGAGAAACATCTATCATTAGTCTTATTGACTAAAGATGTAAGCATTTGTAAAATTAAAGATAGTACCTATCGTTTTCATGTTTCAAATTATTCACGATTATTCCTCTTGTTATCCTCACATGAATGTTTATTTAAATTATTTCATTTTAGTTGTTTTTTCTAAAATTGATTCTTTAAATTAGTCAGCATAGAATAATACTAGTCCTAAAAGAACTCGAATGTGCTGGAATGAACATATTTGAAGCGTTAAAATCTCATTTTGATGATCGTTATGTACCTATTTTAAATAATATTCATAAAATATGGACCATATATTCAAATTTAACATCAAAAAATATACCTATTGTTCTTATTCATGGTTTTGATGTAGTTATTGGTTTATGGAGTTTAAATCTTGATCAGTTATGTTCTAATCGACCTGTATATTGTTATTGATTTGTTAGGTCTTGCACGTAGTAGTCGACCAATATTTAGTCTTGATCCAATTGAAGCTGAAAAACAATTTATTGATATGCTTGAAGAATGAAGAATAGAAATTGGATTAAATAAAGAATCTATTTTACTTGGTCATGGTTTTGATGGATTTTTAAGTGCTTCTTATTCAATTAATTATCCAAAATATATAAAACAACTTGTTTTAATTCATCCATGGGGTTTTGAACAAAAAATCAAAAAATATTTGGCAAACAGGATATTTATAACGTGTACCAATATGGTTAAGAAAATTTCCATCAATTATGATGAAACTTTCATCATTAACTGGCCTTCGAGCAGCTGGAACATTAGGTATTTTTATTATTTTGTGAAACACGGTCTAAAAGATCTGTTGAAGTGTAGAGATAGAAATTGAGACCATACACGCATAGTGACAGGCATTACCATGAAATAGGCATGAATGGAACTAGTCGTTTTTAGTGCTATTAAGAAAAAAAAAAACTTGCCACCGGTTTCTATCGGGATCGAAACCATCTTGTCCACATCTGTTTAGAACACATGAGTCGTGACAATATAATATTAGATGCAAATTTTACACAGCTATAAAAGGTATCGTTTCCAATGAAAAAGTATTAGTCCTCATTCCAGTCAAAAAGAAATATGGTCCTGGTCCCAACCAAAATACAAACTTGGCCCCAGTCCTAATCAAAAATAAAATTTGATTCCAATCGCGGTCAAAAAGAATTTGGTCCTGATCCTGACAAAAAAACAAATTTAGTCTCAGTTTCCGTCAAAAAAAAGATTTGATTTCAGTCTCGGCCCCGATCAATAACGAATTTGGTCCCGGAACCATTGTGCTAGTATCTACCATAGAAATATCACAGACTGTGACAGACATCTTAGCAGCACTTCCCTGTTGTATCAAAGACCATGACAGAGTTTGTTGATATACGATCACAGACTATATATCAATAATGTCTCTTTATACTATATGAACTACTTTCTTATTGCATTTCTGAAGAAGGATGATGAAAAAATGTGTCTCACAATAGATAGAATAAAACAATCTTCCTATGATTATCAACAGCAGCTACATAATGTTTCATATTTTAATTCTATAGGAATCGCACTAACAGCTATTATATTATTTAAAATTGAAATTTTTCTTTTATTAGATGTTTCGATTATAAAACATGTTCGATCCAATCTTCGTGAGAAATTTACTAAATTATTTGATGATGATCGAATATTAATTTATTTATTTCATTGTAATGCTCAATTACCAACTGGTGAAAAAGCCTTTCGAATTATGAGTGATTGTTATACTTGGACAAAAGGTTTAAAAAATTAATTTTATTTGTGAATAGTTTTATAACTTTTACTTCTCTTGTTTTTTTATTTAGAACCAATTATTGATCGAATTCATTTATTAGATGAACGAATTCCAATATATTTCCTTCATGGTAAACAAGCATGGATAAAAATTGAATCGTCATTAATGTTTCAAAAATAACGTACAAATACTTTTGTTGAAATAATTAAAGAAGCTGGACATTATATAAACTATTTTTATAAATAATTTCGATAGCATTTAATTCAATTCTTTTTTAGATTTATGCTAATACATTTGAAGAATTTGAAATGTATTTAAAACGAATTTTATATAATAACTGACTGAGACTATAGTTTAATAAATGTAATATTTCTTTTTATTTGATCGTTTCCTATAAAAACTACAGTTTCGTTTTTTTTGTTATACAATTGATGTCTGTATAATCATTTTTGTATATATATAGGTTAAATGATAAGCTGAATACATAGATTTTAATTTTGTATGATCAATTGAAATCTGTTGTATGTGTTTCTTTTTTGTGAAAGACGAGTTTTAAGGATCAATAATCGTCAAAATCATGTTGAATACATTCAGTACATTCGACGAGAAAGAAATTGATTGAAAACAATTTATCTATCACATGAAAATAATTAATAGAAGGCATTCGGAACTTTTCTATTTTCTCTCATTGATTCAATATATTATACATCTCTATATGCTGACTTGTTCTTTATTTGCACATTTTTAAATATCGTTTACGTTCTAGATTTATTAAACAGCGCTTCATATCTCAATGACAAGACTGACGTATTTATTCAATACATTTTCTTAATTAAGTGTAATATTTTGTTGAATAAAGGAAATGTGAGGAAACACGATTAATAATATATGACTGGATTTTGTCTGTCTAACACAAGTGTGGGCGTTGTGCTTAAGGTAACTTTAGCTTACTTAGTGAGCAGAAAAGATTATTTGATTTATGCACATTAACTCTGATGGTTGTTTTGACATGTTGTATATACTCGAGAAATATTAACATTATTAATCTGTTTGAAAATATTCTATTTTATAGTTCTTACTCACTTTATTCAATCACAATTTTCATCATTAAAAAACTAATGATATTCCATAATTTTAAAAAATATTTTAATATTTATGTTAGAATTCAAATACAGAATAAAATAAAGTAAATTTAGAAGTAATTTTCTAATGAGTTTGACATGATTTTTATATGTTTATGACTTCATTGTAAGCATGCTTTTTTTTTTATATAAACTTTGCATTACATAATAAAGTCATGATTGCATTAAATACATTACTTTAACAATTGAACCTCTCTATTTAGTAGAGATATTATTATAGTATATGATTTATATTTTATCAAACTCTATTTACAATACATCATATAGTTGATGACATGTAACGTCTGATACATTTTATCTAGTTGAATTTCTTTTCATCTAATTATTTTATTCATAATGTGAATTCTATGGTTGTGTCTTAAATCTACTTTACGGGCATATGTTGGTAATAAATATAAAGTAAAAATATCACGCAAACTTTTTTTCTTTCAATTTTGATATAAACATAAGAAGATATCCTAAAGCTAATCGATTAACTATTAGCAATCGAAAATAATTGCATTAATAACTTGATATTATCAGTCACTGAAATTTGTGTTTTTTTTCAATTGTTCAAAAAAACAAAGTATTCTAATGTTTAACACAGAATTATTCACAATGAATCATCATGATTAGGACAAATCAAAGAGCATTTTTCATCGTAAAATGAATGGCTCTTAAAGTGATAAAAAATACATATTATATTCAAGTAAAATTAAATGTTAGTTCATTGAACTAAAAAGAATTCATTCGATAGTTTTTAAAAATCCTAACTAAATGTGAAGACAAATATTTCTATCCAGGTGTTATCTATCATATAATATTTATCTAGATATGTTTGCATTAGATAAAATATAAATACTATTTAACAAGAATATTATCAAAAAAAAAACTAGTGTTATGAATGACATGACTGAAGTACTATTGATTTGCTACCATCTGGTATTTGATCATCATTCCGACTTGATTTTCATATAAATCAACTAGATGACTTGAAATAATTGACTAGATGAGTATTATTCAGATATGTTTGTAGTTTTTATAGAGCTATCATCATGAGTCACAGATATTTATTAGCAAAATTTGATCAACTATCTTAAAGTTTTACTCAAATCGATAACAAAAGATATAGGTACTGAATTAAATTAATAATCAATACAAAAAAATAAACAAGAAATTTGAATTATGTTCATAGTATTTCGTTTGATGTTTGTGCAATAAAAACGAATGTGATTATAGACTTTTTACTCTTCATTGTGTGTAATTTTAATCAATGATGATTTATTATGATAATATACTCTAGAATATGAAAGTGATAAATCAAAAAAAAAGAGAAATAAAAATTCTTAATATTATGTCCTTGTTAAGCTTTCGGCATTAATTTTCTTCTTTTTTTTTATTGTCTAATATTAAAAACATCGTATGTTGTTTGTTCATTTGATTTATCCTTGAACATTAGTAGAAGGACAATTATTTCCCACGCATTTCTAAATATAAATAAAAATTTTAGTTCCATCAAGAAAACAGAATATATGTATAGACAATCCAAGAAACAGAACAGTAAACTGTCATTTTGCAAGAAAAAAAAAATCTTTTCTATGCTTATCTTTTTATTATTATAGAGAATAGAACATAAATATTAACATATATATATAAAGCGAGAGAGAATAAAGAATTCTTTATTCTTGTCAAATATAATAAGTTCAACTGAATCTTTCTATTTTATTTCTACAATTATTGTTTGCAACAATAATCTCACTATTTTAATCAAGTTTTCTTTCTCATTCAAGTAAGTGCCTATTTGATAGAAAAATTATTAAGAATATCGTATTATTCATGTATATGACATTTAAATATATTTGAATATACAATGAAACGTATAGATGAGATTTCATTCAGCTTATCGCAAAAGAAATATTTGTTTTTAAGTTAACAACTACCCATGGAATCAAAAAAACCAAAAAAAATTCAGGACTTTCGTGGATTTTATATCAAAAATTGATGGCTTTTAAATTTATTGATGAAAAATGACATTTTAATTAAGCAAATGTAGTGAATTTCATTTGTACTCAAAAATATACAATGAAATTAATGAAAATGTTTATTTTAATCGATGGAATTAAGATACATCAAATAGTTTTTTTTCTGTTTCATCATTTTAATGCCATTTTTTTATTTTTTAACATCATAAATACACTGGAAAAATAAACTAGACAAGCATTTTACATTATGTGCTTACGCCATTTTGTATGCATGATCAAATTTATTCTCCCACAAAAAAAAATGCCTTGTAGACATAGAAACGTTTTCTTTTGTCATGGCCTTCAACTGATGTTTGAAGAAAACACACTATATCATCTCTAGCTTTTACATAGATTCTCTTATTTAAACATATTATGATTCATATTTTCGATTTATTTTTTCCATTCAGGATTGATACATGCCTTTGTTTTTTAATAAAAAGGCAAAACCTGTTTTATTCCTTTCAAAATAATTAAAACATCGAACAAAAAGAAAAATAGGTATAGAAAAAAATCTCGTTACCCACTCATTTCTTTTTTTTCTGCGTATTATGAAAATGATTGTTTTTGTTTCACTTTTTCTCACAAAATCAACATTGAATTTATTTATAAACACTCCACAAGTAAGCTTTATTTTATTTTTGATTTCAGTTAAAAAACAAAAATGTGCAACATCAATGTTGTATCACTTATTATATTCGTCTATTTCATTTTTCTTCAATTATCCATTATCAACTGTCGTCCTCATACTCAAAAAATACTTGTTCATGGTCATGAATGGACAGTGCCAAATGAACCTGGTTGGGAAGACGGTAAAAATACAAAAAAAAAGATTATTTGTTATTTTTCATTATTTTATATTACTAGTTCTACAAGAAGCTGAACCAGTTCGTCATAAATTCTTAACCAATTGTGCATCAAGTCGAGAATGTCGATTGGCTGCTGAACTATTGCGCAAAATCTTTTTAAAACATCCAGTTTCGGCAAAATATTATGATGATTCAATGGGAAACCAATATCCATCTGGTGATATGAATTCAATCTTTAAATGGGGATGATTTCTACATACAACTTTAGTACTGTTAATAATGATAAAAAAAAACGAAAAGATCATATTTGTCATATAGGCAATTTTCATTATTATAAGATCTAATATTTAACAACAAAGAAAAAAAAAACATAATAATAATAATGCAGATGTGAAAAGATTCTTGTATTAATTATTTTCATTAAGATAAATTTTCAATAATGAAAATATAATTCTACTTTAATTTATTAGATATTTTAAAAGAATCATTGAATTTTATAGAAACTCTATTAACACAGTACTTTTCAATTTATAGAAATAATTTATCTGATTTTCTATCATTTGATCTATATATGAAAGAAAAAGCTATGAGTTTAATCTGACATAATTTTTAATGTAAATCATGTCATGTCGAATTGTAAAATATTTATCAATTGCAATTAAATTATCTCAGAGACACGGAAACACACTTAACTAATATCTTTGTTGATCGATTTATCATTCACACAAATGTTACGTTGTCTTATTTAAGTTTATAATTATATCATCTTCATATGACAGATCAATAATTTAACATGTCTCTTATGTAAATCAATTGAGAATGAAGGTACTCTAGTTTTATATCAAGTACGAATGATTAAATGTGCAATTGTACGTAAATATGAAACTACAGACGAAAACAAAAAAACATACTGATTAATGATATAAATATTGAAATTTAACACCTGTGTATTTATTCGATCAAATCTTTCGACATAATAGATGATCGAAAGAAGTTAAGCCTTATTTATGACAAATAAATATCAAAAATGGTTAATATATATTCATTATGTCTGGGACATGTATGATAATAAGATATAATATGGAAAAGGATTAATATTATTGTATGATTTTTCAAGATACATGTTTGTAAAACAAAAAAAAACAATAAAAGAATCTTATAAAAGAGATAAAAAAAACCATGATTTGATAAGAATCTATGAGAATAATAGACAAGACACTAAATAACTTAAGACAATGTATATCTTCTTTGACATATCGCAATGCTCTTTGTAATACAAAGTCACATAAATATAAACGATTACTTGCTTCTATTAATTATAAAACTCGAAATCAAGATAAAAACATATATAGAATCGTTACATAGTTATATTATCGCCAGTGAATATTAAATGAATCTATGCTTTTTTTAAATGTGCCATTTTCAGATATGTAAAATAGTCATATTAATTGTTATTTAAAACTCTATTTGAACATGTGTTTGTTGTCTACATGAATCTATTTTTGTTCATTATGTCTGTTAGTGTTATCTTTCTATCTCTACTGTTACTAACTAACTGGAAATAAATAGAAAAGAAGTGGGTTTTGCATTTTGCAATCAAAAGAAATATATAATATTTATTGATGCATAAAAACAAAGAAGTCATGCAGTTTATAGATTTTATATATTTTTTTGACCTAAAATAATGTTGTATATGATGTCAATTAACTGTAATGACATATCTGCATGTCCTAGAACTAGAACAAATTATAATTTATGCAAAATAAGTATCAACATGGGATGTGGACGAAATAATTGTTGAGATCACTCTATAAGATAAAGGGAGAGCTTACCGAAATAACATAGAAATTATAAATACATCACCCGCGGTTATATATATTTATAATACAATTATTTAGCTTGGTTATTCTAAAGAATAACAATGTGTATCTAATTAATCTTATTAAATATTTTGCATATTTAAAAAAAAAACAAATGTCAAACAAACCTGGATATTTTTAGAGCAGCTTATTTCAATCCTATGGATCAAAATTTAGTCCTTTTTTATAAATACAAATGTTTCTAACACGAGGAACTACAAAGAAACAATATGACCCTTAATACTAATCTATATTGTTTTAGTAACCATTTCGTTCGTTAGCGATGTGACATCACATAATAGAAAGACATGCATTTCAAAATTTCAAACTTGTTTAGAGCTAGTAGCTTCTTATGTATCTTATGTATGTTGAATTATTCTAAATAACCTGAAAAATTCAATGCTATAGACCATCGTTCAACAGAGTTACTGTTAACAAGCTTTAGGAATATAGCACCTAAAAAAGAAAAGGATATAATTTGATACTGGATGTGTTTTCATTACGAAAACTGCAAATTCAGATAGTAATTTTTGAAAATTAAACGCTACATTTTGTAGATGATTATTCAGACTATAAAAGTTGTTAGCACAATCCCATTGGGACTAAAACCTGGAACACGATGTAGCTGTTTTTGCTAATCATGAAGAGATTGTTCTGTTCTATCTATTTTGGAACACATTTCTTCAGTATCCTTTTACTTAATCCTTCAGAAATTCAATAAGAAAGTAGTTCATATATTATAAAGAGAGACATTATTGATATACGGTCTGTGATCGTATATCTACATCTGTCACAATCTGTGATACAGGAGGGGATTGGGAATATTGCTAACATGTCTGTTATGATTTGTGGGGCACGACTGGTCTACCATAAAGTTTAAGATAACGATTCTTCGAAGTGTGCTCTTTCGAAAATCTCATAAGAAAAAGATTAATATTTTGTTCAAGTTTCCAGAACATCTAAGTATTTTACAGAATTTTCCTGTTTTTGTCAAGATGTAGACTTTTCAGTGTCATGATGTAGCGATACTCTTGAAAAATCACCCATGTAAAAATTTTTGCTAATTTAATGAAACCTTGTGATGTGAAAATTCGTTAAAAATTTAATGATTTAACAATTAAAAATGTTACAATTTTGATCATGAAAAGGCGTTAAAAGTGTGCAAACCTAGCGCGTTTAAACACGTTTTCAAATTCTAACGATCATTTTTTCGTTAGATCAGTAAATTTTTAATGATTTTTTTGACACGTGAATTTATCCCGAAACGCGTTAAATACGAAAGCTGATTAATATGTTATCCCTCACAATTTTTCATACATTCTTATTTACTTCAAATATAATAAACTTCCTTCAATAATCAATATCTTGCTTAGTTCCACTCATCTGAAGAGAAAAGTCCAGCTAATCAATTCAATATTGGATGTACTTACTAATAAGATGCTTCAGAAAGGATTGTTATCACTATAAATATTTCGTAATAGGTAGCAAAACCAACGATGAAGTACAATATATTTTTTTATTTTGTCGATATCTCGAAACGAAAGCTATTTATGGATTTTACTTGCTACAATTTTGCATTCTTGTATGTATCAGAAATGTATTTCATAGTCGACAGAAATGATAAGACTATTACTAGTTTAAAATCTAGGATATCAACAAAGTAAAAAAAAATATTGTATTCTTTGATTTGTTTCGCTATAAATTATGAAATATTTTTAGTGATAATAATGTTATCTTAAACATCTTATTAGAAAGTACATCCAATATTGAATCGATCAGCTGAATTGTTCTTCTCATCCGAGTAAAACTTAGCAAGATATTGATCATTGAAGAAATTTCATCATATTGGCGGTGAATAACAATGTATGAAAAATCCTGAGGAGTAATATATTCATTAGCTTGAACTGTGGAAAGACAGATTACACGAACTAATATAATTTAATTATCCCCTTGCTTTTAACTTAGTATATCAGCTTACATATTTAACAGAGATGAACTAGTAATTTTTTTCATATTAGATCTAGATTCTATAAGCGAAAAACTTAACTCAGCTCAACTCAATAGCGTAAAAGAGGAATTTATATCAATACACACTTATATAGGTGGCATGTAGCTCGAGTAAGAAAGTTAAAATATTACACGTGTGAAAATGAATGCAGTATTTAACGAGATATAATGAGTTAGTTATCATTACAATGACAATCGCGCGTGAAAAAACGTGAAAAATCTAATGCGTTAAAACGAATTTTCCAAATCTAGCAAAAATTCACGAAAATTTTCTTCGTGAAACTTCATTAATTTGCCTTTTAAGGCAACTTTTGACCTTAACTGGAGCACTTATCTCGCTAAACTTTTTTTTTATCATGTGGCGCAGAAATGATGATGTACGAAGTACAAAATTATATTCCTTTAGACATAAAACCCATAGTAAAATTTTAAAGAAGAAAGATGAAAGAGGATTATCTTTATCTAGGATTAATTCAAGTGATTTTACTAGCAATTAATACAAAGCTAAGATTTCTCTAAAGGAGTGTTCTGCTTAATCTGATAAAAAGCTTTTGATATCTGGATTGATATAATTCACAGACAAACTTGATATTTCGTAAATATAAGTCTTTCAAGATGATTTTTATGTAATGTGCATAAACAAATATGTTACACAAAAAATTATGAATATTGTACGGATGAAAACGATTAGTAAATTGAATGATGGATAATTAAATGACATTCGTTAAAAATTAAAATTTTCGTTAAAACTCGTTAAAATATTTCATTCATGAAAACAGTTACTTGATTTAACGAGAATCAATCAGTTAAATTTCATGAAAAATACAGAAATTCATGAAAACGCGTTAATATGTTTAACGCATGAAAATGAATACCAAGTTTAACGATATTTAACATGGTAAGATTGGTTAAAAATAAAATAAAAACTCAAGAAATATCGTTAGACTTCTTAACGCATGAAAATGAATGCAACGTTTAACGATATATAATGAATTAGTTACAGTTAAAACGACAGTCACGCATGAAAAAGCATGAAAAATCTAGTGCGTTTACACGAATTTTCGGAATATAACGAAAGTTCATGGGATTTTCTTCGTGAAATTTAGTTAATTTGTCTTTTAAAGTAGTTTTAGGCGTTAATTTTAAGAATCATTTCATTAAATACCATTTTATTTTTACATGGGTTGAACATAAAATCTCACCATCAATATTTTGAATTTATTGATCGAAATTAAAAGAACATTTATTGAAGTATTCGAATGGCAATGAGAGAATCTGAACAAATTAAATAATAAAGATGAAAAAAACCAGTAAGAGGTTATTTAGTATTGGTAGAAGAAATCAAGACAAAAAAAATTTTTTCAACACTAGTATTCTTTCTAT